AGAGAGAGAGAGAGAGAGAGTGAGAGCGAGCATGCGCACACATGTGCGTGAGCAAGGTAGGGGCAGAGACAGAGAGAGGAAGAAACAGAATCCCAAGCAGGCTCTGCACTTCAGCGTGGAGCCCCATGCAGAGCTCGATCTCACAAACTGTGAGATCATGCCCTGAGCTGAAATCAAGAGTTGGACACTTACCCGAATGAGCCTCCGAGGCGTCCCTGTTTATTTTCTTTAAAGCAGTGTGGTCTCAAGGTCATTACTCAGGGGAACTGAATTACAGTGATTCCAAACAGGCCAAATCTACCAAACCAGTTTCTACCCACACCTCCTTCTAACTCTTGCTGGGGCCATCTTGAGCCACCAGGACTCTGTGTAAGGCAGTAAGTTATTCTCTGGACTCTCAACATTGAGAGACAACTCCAGAGATTTAAAAGGAGCCTCTTTGGAGGGCCCCCACTTACCGTGCCCTCGGGAGATCTCCAAATTAGCTGGCTAAAAGTCTCCAGACCTATGGGGAAGTAGAGAGGCAGGGTAAAGGCTTAGAGAGGTGGGGAAAAAGATGCACCCATTTGGAAGGTTCCCAATGTGGCAGAGGAGAATGCCTGGGCACACAATAAAAGCAGATGTAGTACGGGCTTAATGAGTCTCCACACAGATGCAAAGGGGATACTAGGAAGCCGGTAGCTATTTTTACTCTATTTTATTTTGGGAGGTAGCAGTGTAAGGGTAGCAGATTAGTACCCCTCCTTGAACACACCCTCAAAACCCACAGGCCTCTTATCCATAATTTCCAAGCCTTGAACTCACAAGAGTATTAAGAGAGGCCAAGATGTGTGCTTGTGTGGAGAGGTGCAGGGACAAGCCAGTTCACACATTTAAGGCTTTCCATAATTAATACTGATCAGGAGCTAAGGAAACAGAGAAAAAAGGGTCCTCAATCTACTGCCCCTTCTATTATCCCAGATTGAATTGTGAAAAAGTGATCATAAGCTTAAGTTTCCAAGGAGCCTGGGTCCACGGCTGGACCTAGAAGACAAAGAATCATCCACCTTTCCTCTTCAGAGCTTGAGAAGGAAACCAGCTATAAGGAGAGAGCTGAAGTCCAGTGGACACAGAGCTGCCCCAGTCCAGTGGACACAGACTCCTAGATTCTGGTAAGGCCTAAGGGCAGGCATGCGGAGTCCAGAGCATTGTATGGATTCAACAGCTAAAGCCCCTCTTCTGAAAACCTAGCAGAGGCCCTGTGAAGGATTTCCAGAGTCTCAAAATTTCAGAATGAAAGAATCTGAAATCTTGACAGTCACTCAGCATCTGCTTCAAGGCAGACTGCTTCTATACCGTTTTGGCTTCTTTCTACCCTGACTCTGACACCCAAAATTCTGGAGTCCCAGATTTTCCCTTATCTCAACCTGACTAATCATTAGCCCCTGCTAATGTAAGAGAGTGTAAGGTGTAAGAGAGCAGAAAGGGGAATCAGCATGCTGTTTCTCCAAAACACAGGAGAGGGAAGAGGAGGGGTAAGTGAACAAAGACAAACCAAAACAAGGTTTGAAATTCTGTTTAGAATTTCCCTACTCATTCACCAGCAGAAGTTTTAGAAAAGTAGTAGAGGTATCTGGCTAAGTCTATATCTAAGGACCAAATACCTTTTCAGTAAACCAAGAGGAAGGGCACAGGCCCATCACCTGTTAGCTAAGAAAGTCTTCATTTCTCCTGAAATAATCTAGTTCTGCATGTTTTACTACTATTTACTTCTTTTTTGACATTTATCTATTTCTTGTGATATGGTTGTCCTTTACAATGCATCTTTCTAATAACGTGTGTTTAGTGAAAGCCGAACGGGCAGTGTTGTGGTGGGGTTCCCAAGCAGCCTGTCCCCTGCGGCACCGAGCATCAGCCTGCTGGGCCTCTCACTGCTGCCCCAGAGCACCTGCCCAGGAGGGCCACTGCTGCCGCTGCACAGGCTGACACCCATCAATTTCTTGGGACAGCTGTAAGGAGAACACTCCCTTCAGGGAGACCGGGAAACACTCCAACTGATCTCCATAAAGAAAGCTTCCTAAAGTGAGGGTATGTGCCGGACCCTCAGCCCTATTCTCCCAACCCACCGATGCCAACCTTCCCACATCACCCCTTTCTCCCCGTCCCAGCATCAGCTCCCATGTTACCTCGGAGAGCTCCCCAGACAGTCTCAGAGAGGAGGAAACAATGATCATCATTTATGACCAGGGTGTCTGAAATGACAGAAATGACTCCATTGGTTAAGGATTCTACTCTTAAATTACAGATCACATGTTCTGTGTAAATCCTTGGATTACAAAACAGCAGAAAGATCACATTTTTTTTCCATTCAAAGAGGAGACATCCCCAGAGGAGAGCATCTGCAGGTCAGCTAGGCCTTGGACTAGAGTGAGAGGGAGGTCACCCAGCAGCTCTGCAGGCCTTAAAAGATAATGCATGATGAGGGTCTGGCTAGAGCAGAAAAACACCACCTGCCTTGTGGTTCAGTTTCCTCCCCCTCCAGAAACACGAGTTTCCACCAGCCCTTAGCTCAGAGTATGAAGGGGACAGGGATGCTTGGAGGCATGTGTCCAGGTTACAATGTTCCCAAAGCCTTTGTAATCACCCTCCTCTCCCTTCATCTTCAGGTTTCATTCAGCTACTTCATCCAAGAATGAGAGGAGGAAGCCAAGACTAGAACGTTCACTTTGAAGACTGAGAAGTTCCCAACTGCTGCTGCTCAGGGGCACGGAGGCATCACAGTGCTAATGATTTGGCTTTATTTCAATCATTATGTCCAAAAACTCTAGTCATGCCCAAAAACTCCTTCTCTCTTAAAGAAAATCAGCAAATTCCTAAAATGGCATTGGAATTATATGCAGTTCAGAAGACAAGTGTCCTGTGGGATTCGGTGAAAAGCCAATGTGACATTCCACAGTCAACCTTCAGACACTGGTTAGAGTTCATACAAAAGATTCACCTCTGTGTCTCTCAGCACTTGGTGACCTTGGGTCTCCACAGTCATGGAGGGCTCTGGGCCTAGCATCAGGAGCTTAGGCCAGGCCAACCAGAGTTATATCTTCCTCTTCTAGAACAGGGAACGGGGTGGCACTTACAATTTTCCACCGACTCCAAAGAAGGAAGCTGGTCACATCCAGGAAGGACCACAAGGATAACCAATGAATTCTTCTCTGGTGTATGCTGTTTTCCTGCAAGGACAGGGTAAACTCAACATGGCTGACCTGTCACCAGAAGCTAACAGGCAAAACCAAGGTCTCATAGGAAGGTCCCTAACTCTAGTCCCTTCTGCTCGCATGCGTGTGGGGAGAGGCAAGGGAGGACAGGGCATTTACCCTTGCCGTAGACACTGCCTCATCACTTGTTCAACTTTTTCATTTTCGTTGTGCTGCCCTCTCTCCCATAACCCGCCCTGACCCATGTATCAAAGATCTGGCAGCAGCTCTTTGTAGCCAGGGCTCTCTATTTCTAGTTTGGGTACAGTAAGCACATGATTCCAACACCTCAACAACTGCTTCTAAACTAGAGACAGCTTGAGAGCACTTCTACCCAAAGTGTGGTCTGCAGATTAGCTGCTGACTTGCAAACTGTGCTGCTGGTTGAAAGGAAAGATACTGATAGACAGAAAGCTTATACAATGCTGGAATGTAAATCAATTATGTCAGAATAAACACACTGTTCAGTTCTAACATTTTTTCATTACACATTTGTTTTGATGAAGGGAACAGTTTTACATTCTGGTGTACCTCCCCTCTCACTGCAGACTGTCACTTGAAGTAGCACTGTTCTTGAGGGCTCCAGGTGAAGGGTTTCCCATTTTGTAAAAGCCCAGGAGCTGATGCAAGCACACGAAGCAGATGACAGAAGGATCTCCTATGCAAAGGAGGCCTGAGATAATCTAGCTGGTGCCCCAGCAAAGGGACATGGTCACCATCCCATCCTGCTTCCTTCCCTCTCCCAAACAGGTTCTCTGTCTGAGGCAGACTTCTGTCTAGCAGTGGGAAGCCATCCAGTATGAGCCAACATTGAGCATAGTTCTACAGATGACACCCCTCCTCACCGAAAAAAATAAAAGAGCCAAAGCCAAGATACTAAAGTGCTGTCTCTCCTCCTCCTCCTAAGGGTTCTTCCTTGTGACCTTTGAGGTGGTTCTGATTGTACAGCTCCAAGCCTGAACCCGAATGTGCCCCTTTCTATTCTTTTCTGGGGCCACATACATCCACACTGGTACCACCACAACCATGACTTCCTATGGAACCACAAAGTCAGGGATAGGATAGTCTGGAAAAAGGCAGGGTGAGAATTCAGAACAAAACTGCATCCCTTATGGTATCCATCTCTAGGCACAAGGAATCCAAGAGCCTTGAGCCATTTCAAGGAAGCCTTCACGGAGCTCAAACTGCTTGAGCACTACCACATGGCCGCATCTCAGCTCGCAGATTTGCCAAGAAGCAAGCCAATAAGGAGCCCATTCCTACCACCATAAGCAAATGCATTCTTTCCCCTCCCTGTAAATAACCTGTATCCCACACTAATACCTGCCTAAATCCTGCAGGGAGAAGGAAATGTGAGGCTACTCTGGGCCAGGCCAACTCACAACTCTATTCTAAACCCTGAAAACTCATCCCCAGCAAGACAGGATGACCAGACTGTCAGGGCAGAAACTACCTTCAAAGCAGAATCTGTAGGGCCCTCCCAAGCTCCCCAGGCAGAGAAGCCATCTCTACAAACCCCAAAGACCAAGGAGGACTTAACTGAGAGGGAGGAGTGAAAAAAACTACAAAAGAATATTCTTCCTTAAACTATGCCCTCATCCCTCTCTTCCTCACCCCCACTCCAATCCCACACATCACAGTGCCCCAGTATCATTGTGTGGAGGAGGGATCATCTGTGTATCTATCCAAAAGAGGGCAAAAGTCCTGGGCTTTAAGTGTTAATTCCGTGGACTTCAGGCTACCAAGCTGAGGAGAAATCAAAACTATCCGTGTACAACTGCCATGGTCACTGTCCTAATGACACGAGAGGCTGTACAAATACTAGGTTTATCTGAACAATTGCTTGGAACATAAGAAAACATCTAGCTTGTTTTGTTGTTAGTATATTTTTATTTTTCTAAAACACACCTGCAGGCCATCCTCTAAATCCATAGTCCCTTTGGGGGAGGGTGGTAGACTCCTTACAAGATCTGATGAAAATGAAAATGAAAGGATTTTTTTCCCTAGAACAATGCCCCTAACTAAGGGCTTATCCCTCCACCCCCTGCCACTAATCTTATGGTGAAGATTCCCTATCCTAAATGCTCTCAGTGACTCACTTGGGTTTGGGCTGATAGAGGAGATACAGAATCATGGCTGCTATTTAAACAAGTTATGAGGGGGAAGGTCTGGAGGCAGTGGTAATGTGAGAACTGGCAAAACAGGAGGGACACTGGGTCACTTAAAAGGATATAAACAGTGTATCATCATTGTGGTTTTCCGCCTCCAAGTTGCTACCCTGAAGCAAGCAGGAAATAGGCAAGGGACAGGCCAGCTGCCTCTATATGCACCCACACACTCTGCACTGGGAAGAACTGAGGTGTAGGAAGCATGGCCCGGCACACTCAACAATGAGCCTGGCTGGGACAACAGGAAATTCTGAAGTCTCAAGTGCTCAGGAAGAAGCATGGCCAACAGAGCACTGAGCAGGGAGATCAGAAAAGGTTGGTTTTGTTTTGGTTCAGCTGCTGCTAAGCTGAGTGAATCTCAGGACTATTTTCTCCCCTGTAAACAATGGCAAGGTAGGACCAGATTCCAGCTATTCCTCTAAAGAGTTAGTACTTTGTGACTCCACACACAGATAATATGCTCCAGAGTCCCATTCCGTGGCCAGTACCTCCTATCTCCACGGCTCCCTCATCCCCCTGCTTTCATGTACACCTGCTCTTTTCTTCTGGTTCACTGAACAGTTTGCATTTTTCTAAATTTAAGAAGATAAAAAAAATTCAAATAGTACAGAAGTATTTGTAACGAAAAATTAGTTACCTTTGGCACCTCTCCCCTTTTAGCATAATTTCGCCTATTCCTCACAGACAGGTCAGATCTGGATGTGGAACTCTGAGACCCTTTTTCTACCCACTGTTGAACCTTCTCCAGATGCCAGTGCCATAACCCTTCCATTACTCTACTGTTCTCAGCCCTCTCCCATCTTCTCTTCAGCCTGGGTGTGCTGATCTCTCACTTCAAACACAATCTAGCCAATTCTCCTAACAACCTATCATTTAATCTACTGCATGCAGTGAGCAAAACCCCCTCAACTCTGGATCAATCTCACATCCACCTTCTGTGCACCGACCCTGGCTACTGCATCCTGCTGGAGGGAAGAGAGAAAATCATGTAATGATAGGATTTGGTCACTATAAAATCATGGTCTGTCAACTTGGCTGGGCCCTTGATGCTGCCCTGAAAAATCTCCCATCTCTACCACTCCTTTCTTCTATTCTCTGCAACAGCTATTTCAAACTTGAGCCACTTTCCTCAAGCCTGTAACTTGATCACCACTGGCTTTACTCTCAGTAGACAATCAGAAGAGAACTCCCATCCATCTCTACCTTCCCCTCTCCTTCCTGACAAAAACACCTGTAACACATGTCTGGTCTTTACCTTCTCCTACCTGGGTGGAAGGGGTTTCCTTTCACCTGTGCTCTGGATCTCTCCTGAGGTTCCTCTTGTATAAATGCTTTCCCCTTTCCCCTAAATCTTCAAGTTATTTCTTTCTACTGATTCTTTCCCATCAGCATTCACATATTTGCAAGTCTTCCTGATTTCAACTCCATGTTATCTCCAACAGATTCTTCCTCTTGCCTACTGTTCCCAAAGAAACTCTAAAGGAAATGTAGCCTGAGCAGTTAGGTGCTGAACTTCAAAGCCAGACAGATGTGGGTTCAAATCTTAGTTCTAACACTTTCTAGCTATGAGATCCTGAGCCAGTTATTTTCCCTCTCTGTGCTGCAGCTTCCTCATCTGAAAAATAGGGATCATGATTAGCACCTACCTTACTGAGTTGTTGGGAAGATTAAATGAGTCAATATATGTAAAGGGCTTAGGCATTGCCCAGCACATAAGTGATCACAGAGTTGGCCATGCTTAGTCCTCTCTTGGTAGCCACTTCTGACATCCTATCTACTCCTTAGTCCACTATAATATGGCTTCCTTTTCTACCACTCCTCTGAAAATGCCTTCACCAAGGGTCTGTGGTTCAGTAACTAAATTCAAGGGATCTTTTTCAGTTTATTCATTCATTCATTCATTCAACAGTTATTTACTGAGTGCTTACTATGTGCCAGGCTGTTCTAAGTGCTGGGGACACAGCAATGATCAAAACAGACAAAAATCCCTGCTGTCACACAGGTAATATTTTGGTGGCCGCTCACTTCTTCTAGGACCTTTTGGCAGCATCAGACACCCCTGATGTTCTTTAAACTAAACTCCGTAGCTTAGAGGACATAGCTCTCTTTGAATATGCTTCCTCATTCTCCCCTTCCTTTGCCAGCCCCTACATGCTAGTGTTCCCAGGGGTTTCCAGGCTTCCAGACTTCTCTTTTTCTCTTCACTTACACTCTCCTTGGGCAATGTCATCCACCCCACAGTAGGTTGATGATTCTCAAATCTACCTTTCCGTGCTAACTCTTTTTCTGGGACTCGGCTCACAGGCCTACACTCAAATGGCTTAGAAGCCCTTCAAATATTAAATACGAAATTGAACTAACTCTTTATTCCTTTTCCTGGATGATCTTCTCTCTGTTTGATAACAGTATCATCTATTGATTTATCCTGACAGAAACCTCCTCCTTCTCCCACCTTTCTGTGTACATTAAAAACTCATTCACCCCATATTTATCGACTGAATACCATGTGTCAAACACTGTGCTAAGCACTGAGATTACAGCACTGAAAAAGAAAGACCCAATTAAGCCTTATAACTACAAAATCCTTAATATCTCAAAATCATGACCACCTTCCCACCTCCACTGGGTCAATGCCTTAATTCAGCCTCTCATAAATTCTCCCCTGAAAGACTACAAAACCTCTCCATTGTTTTCCCTGCGTATATACCCATTTCAATCTACTATCCTCTGTGATCTTTTAAAATGAAGATCTCTGCTCGGATCCCGTGCAGGGAGTCCCACAGCAACACAAAGAACTCTTTACAGAAT